AAACTTTCTAGTTTATCACCTCTTGGAATTATCGCTCGCTGTATCAATAGCGCCCGACACATGTCGCCAGAAAGGCGCAACACGAAACCTTTCGCGTAACGTAAACCCCTTGTTGCGTTTCAGAGCGTACGACTGTAAATGATCTGTCGTCACTCTCAAAACTTAGGTCCGGATATCATCTACGGTTTTATGTTAACCATACCACTCTCAAAACTTAGGTTCGAGTATCGCCTGCAGTTTTATATAAACCATGCCTCGAACATTCGATATTCAAAAGCGTGATTACATCCATGTGCGGTCCCATTGCATAGGACAAACCTTTGTCTCTGAAGATCCAGAGGAGTATAAATACGGGCCCTGCGAGGCCGCCGAGTCAGTCAGTATTCAATTTTTCAGTAAGTCGTCAATATTCAGTCAGAAAGTCAGTTTCGGTCAAGTTGTTAGTTTTCGCAGTCGCAGTTTCAATTCTGACTCAGTCTCGGTCTAATTCTAGTTCTAGTTTCGTCCTAGATCAATACGGTTAGTTTAAGTTCGGTTTATCAATTTTATACGTTCAAGTACTTAATCCGCGAACTGCGCGTTCCATTTCTAGAACATAAGTGCTTATATGTTTGTAAGAATTCTTATTTTATAAGTTTATTTAAGTGTAATTTCGTTTATTAAACAATGTACTCTTATTTTCATTTATAATTACATTTATTTGGTTGCATTGAGAATTTTATCTTTAATTTCAAATCCTTAAACATTATTCCAACTTAGCGTGCGATCCTTAAATTCCAACGAACAATAAAAGGTAAAGACGTGTCGCGCCGAAATAACTCTAGTGCAGTGATTCCTCGACCGCAAGATAACCAGCAACAATGACGCATCTAAAGATTCATCTCTACACGACTATCAGCCTGCTATTGGAAGATCGATCCTGGAACCGATCGGGCGCCTTACGATTAGATTGAGTTATCACTGGCTTCAGGTACCATACAAGTCGACACCGGTGAGTCCGTTAGTAGCTATACTATGGGGGTTCTAACCCATGGGGCAATGAGGGGGGTGCGGGTGAAGAGGGGAAGAGGGGTATCGGATAACAGTGGAGGGGGTAATAACGTCATCGTTTTTGGAGGAGAGGGGGTAAATGTGGAGTGGTAGGGGTATCAGATTACAATAATTTCCGGAAGATAAGGATTGTTAATACAAATCGCGAGATAAGGATTCCCGGAAAAAGATAAGGATTGTTTATTGGAAAGAGAACTGTT